GTGCTCTCTCTCAAAGTCCTTCTGGGTACAGAGCACGGCTGGCTGCTTACCAAACCCCTTTCTCCTTCGCGCTGGCCAACAACTAACCACTTCCGGCTGCCTTGAGTTAGAAGGTGTGTGTCACTCGGTAGTGAACAAAGAAATAGACGAAAGCACGTCCGGGCTCGTCAGCATGTCCCACGTGACCTTCTGCCTCATTCTCAGGGTTAAGAATCCCACTGAGGGAAAGAGCCTGGATCCTGGAATTGCCATGAGGGACAGAGCGCCTACCCCGTCGACCCAACACAGAGCTGAGCCTTTACTGTTTATATCACTGAGATGCGAGCAGTTAAAACAATAAGCCGCTGGCTCGACTCACGTGCAGGATCCCAATAAATAGGAAGCTCCCAGCGCTTCCCAGCGAAGCCGGGCTGTCTCTTCAGGGCAAAATGGGATCCAGGCTGCATTGCTACTGTGTCCCCAGATGGGCTCTTCAATACGGAAGGCACAAGGATAGTCAAGAGCAGATTCTGGAGTCAGACTCCTTGTCTCGAAAGCCTGGCATTCCTAGTCACCAGCTGCCATGATCTCCTCATGACCTGATGTCACGAGGAGTTTTTAAAGAAATCATCCCAACTATGAAGGATACACAGTTTTTCAAAATTATTTTGGGATGCATGTGAGCACAAAACTTAGAAAAGCAAGGTTTTAAAGCATACCAGTGTCACAGTTACAAACTCAGTCTCCAAGGCCCCTGTCATATTTTCAAATCTAAAGCTTTAGAATTCTGCCAATATGGCAAGTACACAAAATATTTAAGCATATAATTTATTTAAAGATCAATCAAATTGTACCCCTTAAGCAGCTATTAGTCTATACTCAAAATTTTCATGAATAAACTATTTCAAATAGAATTTTTAAATAAAATACTAAGTTGCTAAATACCTTATAACTTAGTACCCAATGCAATGTAAGTCAGCATACAAAGATTCCTAAGAGCACAATGAGGTAAATATCTATCAAAATTACAATGAAAATGTGAAGAATTGAAAACTCCAATTGTATTTTTATAAGCCTATATATAGCACAAAAGGACTTGTCATACTTTTAAAAAATCATGCTTCTGTCTGGCTGGGGTGGCTCAGTGGTTGAGCATCAACCTGTAAATCAAGAGATCAGGGTTCGATCCTCGGTCAAGGCATATGCCTGAGTTGTGGGCTCAATCCCCATAGGGGGCATGCAGGAGGCAGCCTATTGATGTCTCTCTCTTATCAATGTTTCTCTCTATCCCTCTCCCTTCTTCTCTCTCTAAAATCAATAAGAACTTATTTTTAAAAAATCATGCTTTTCATTTGCTGAAATGCAATTGTTCCTCATTCACGGACACTCATTTAAAATAGTGGCTTTTTATCATAATACACTCACTGAAAAAAAGCCCTATCTACTGCCTGATCCCACGCCAGTTTCACCACACGCTAAAAAAGAACTGGCGTGGGAACCAGGCTGGTGCGCTGGAAAGGAAGCCGACTGCGACACTGTAACAGACCCTTTCCCCAGGAAGAGGCCTCTGTGCAGGTCTGCGTGAGGGAGGCCGCAGGCTGCACTCACCGTGGGAGTGGAAGTGTCCGTGGTCGTGGCTGTGCGCGTGGTCGTGGCTGTGCGCAGCACCGTGTTTCAGTTCCGGACTGTGGCAATGGTCCCCGTGGCCGTGGGCCTGGTCCAGAGCACCGTTAAAGAGGGAATGGCTGTGTTCATGGCCTACGAATAGCGTTAGAACAAAAGGCGTGTGAAAATATGTTCGTTAATGGTTACAGTAACACTGACATCAGCAAAAGAACTAGCTCTAAAACCAGGCGCAAGTTCATAAACATTTACTTGTAAAGTGTTATTGATTCATTAGAATAACACTGAGTTCCTACCACACAGTACAGGAAGGAAATAAAGCAGAGATTGACAAACAGATCCTAAAATTTATATGGAAATTCAACAAGGGATCCGGAATAGCCAAAACAATCCTTAAAAAAAAGAATAAAGTAGAAAAATCACATATTGCGATTTTAAACCCAACTCCAGAATTACAGTAGATCAGTGAAGCAGAACTGAAAGTCCAGAAACAAACTCTCACATTTATGGTCAACTGATTGCTGGCAAAAATGACAAGACAATTCAGTGGGGGAAAATCACCTTTTTAGATGGCGCTGAGACAACCGGTTACCTACATATAAGAAAGTACTGGACCCATACCTCACACCACACACAAAAATGGACTCAAAACGGATCAGACCTAAACGTAGTCTTAAATGGATACATTTAACTCCAAAATTTAAGGATGAGTCCTCACCAGCAAATCTACTCATGCAGTTACTAATTTTAAATTAACTGAAGGGGGGAAAACATTAACATACAATAGACACAGGAAACGCAGTGTGATCAGAAACGAAGCCCGGCCACCAGCCCCGGGAGCAGCTCTGAGTGCCCTTCACTCCGCAGTGCTCCTCCGCCACGCCCGCTGCTCAGTCCCGCTGAGTGCACAGGGTCAGGCATACGGGGCCGCTTCCTCCCGAGGTACTCACGCAAACATTGAGGTTAAAACTGGCATCAGCGTTTTGTAAAAAGCTACCCAGGTGATTATGCAGGCTGGCGCAAGGAAACAAGCTAGAAGTATTTCTCATCAACACTGTGCTAGAGGTCCTGACTATGCAATGAGACAAGCAGGAACGATAGTTACCATTCTTCACGGGGATAAAAACTTTCAACTACCCAAAAATGAACCCAATGAAAAATATTTCTGTTAAAATGCCTAAGACATGGAATTTCATATGAACATGAAATTTAATCTGAGTTGTGTCCATTTTTCACAAACGCAGACAATGAATTTCTGGTCAAAATTCCAACAAGATTTTTCATAAGACTTGACAAGGTGATAAAAAAAAAAAAATTGAGTCACTCTCCAAAAAACCTGGAAAATCCAGAGACAGGACTTCCCCTACGAGACCTGAAACCAGGGAACCCACTCTCTGGAGTTCTGTATGGCTGTTCACGAGAGAAGGGGGGCCGAGACATGCGAATGGAGGATCTGAAGGGCAGATTATAGTAAATTTCAAACCCACATACACTATAATTTTTTAGTAACTAGAGTTGTTTTGTGGTTTTGATGTTTGTCTGTCTGTGTTATATAAATGGTGTCATAATCAACAGATGAGCTACACACGTCTGGAAGGACCCACCCCCAAATCGGAGCACGTGTAACGGAGCAGGTGCTACTGTCTAGTGAGGGGCACGGAGACGTGGAAGTCATTACTAAGAGCCTATTCACATTACTTTTGTTATTAAAAGTCCAAGTTTGACTTGGAAAATGATCAGTTTTGAAAAGTGAGTCACTGTGACAGCAACAGGAAGTGAAGAAACAAAGGGCCTGGCCGCCATACCAGAGCCGTGCGAGTGCCCGTGGCCTCCGTGCTGGAACACGAATATCCCCACCAGGTTCACCACGAACCCGAGGACGGAGACCAGCAGCAGTCGCTCGTGGTGCACGTCGGGCGGCGCCAGCGCTCTCTGGAAAACACAAGACAAGGTTCATCGGGGTGACTTCCGAGGGGTCAACGGGTGGAAGCAAAAAGCCACTTTAAAAAATGTTCAGTTCTTTCCAGAATGAAAAATCCCTCCAAAAATATCTGCCAAAGCCGTATATCGGAATAAAACCAGTATTCACACTGTAGGAAAGGTAACAATCGCTGTTTTTAAAAACAAGTATTGGAAAGCATGACCATTTGGCCTGAAGCCCATCCTCTGTGGCATTTTAAAGCGTTGCCGCTCATTTCAAGTTCACTCCCCTTTAAATCTTCTCCTTGTGTTCAGGCACCGAGTGCGAAGGGCCCCCGGCAGAACTCGGGTTCTCTTAAGAACTCTCCTGCAGGCCCCGCCTGTGCTGCGCCTGTACTTTCCAGGGTCAACACTTCACTCACAGCTGCAAAGCAGATTATTTGCTCTCCATTTCGAGTAGCTGCACATCTACTTAATTTTTCTCAACTATTGTGTAAGCTCCTCCTGTAACCCGAGGCCGTCCTCAATGCTTAATAATCGTGTGAAAAACAGCTCTGTTACATGTGTGTTTAGTGAATAAACATCTTCCTTGCATATATAATTTACTGGCTCTAATCATTATCTACTATACCTCAACTCCTTCTGAGAAAATAAAAAAGGCAGTGAAGATCAAAAACAGCCCATTGACAAAGCCAGCCAGCACTTCCGCTCTGACATACCTAAAGAGCAAAGTAAACAACCGAGTTATTAAGTCATTTCTTACAGATCAACCAGTAAATTTACGCATGTTCGATGACGCTAAACCACTTTATACGGTTATAAGTGGCCAGCAAAGTCCCAGTATTTATAGTGCAGTATGTTTTATTGTACATATATTATAAAAACAAGAACACGAATTTAAATATTATGAATTATGTTGAATAGCAGAAAATACATGGATTTCCTCACAGCAATCAGAAGACCTTGGAGTAAGGAGGTATAGAAAGACCGTCCCCAGAAATGTGAACCTCAAGTTGTTGCTGGAGCAGGAAGAGCAGGACTAAATAGGCAAAGAAGAATCCAAAGAGAAAAAGGAGAAGAGCCTGAAAAGGGGGGTTTTGTGACTTATTAATTCCTTCTCGCCTTAGGCCTTCTGCTTTGTGCTGTTCAGCTTTCAAATCTTTGGAAAGTGGAGCTTTGATCTGAAGGAAACTAAAATTATTTCTCAAGTATCCCTGAAACCACTTGAGATTTCTATTCCTATCACTCTTTTTCTAAGATTAAGAAATGTAGCACAAACGTTGACCTATTTTTAGAATCAATTCTAGCTTCACGTGATTCTAATTGAACTAGTTTTTAAAATTCTGCCCCTTCCCCACGGACTTCTGACGCCTCCTGCCTCTTGCCCGTGGGAGGCGGCAGGGAAAGGGTTTCTTTACCAAGAGGCATCTCTGGCTTAAAGTCGTTAGGAACAACTTGAACTTGGCAGCTTTACTTGTTCAAACATTTTTCAAAGGGCGCTCACAGCAGTTAATCACTCTGGTCCTTAAACCATATAATAGGAGCATCAAGAATACCGCTTTCTGTAGCTTTCTTTAATGATCCAAAGTGGACTTAAGATTTTATGGCGCCAGAGCACATGTTCTCTCTGAGCATGCAGCCTCTTTGGGCTCTGGCTATAGCGGATCTCTTGCTCCTACTATAACAACAGTCTGATTAGTGTTTCTTCTCTCGCTTTTTATAAGTTTACAAGGAACCTAATGCTTTGGTGATACCCCGAATCAGCAAGTTCTGTCCTAGACCTCATCCTTCAGCACCTGTCAAATGTGCAGTTACTATTTTTACAGAATTGCTCCCCCATCAGACCCCAGGTTCCCCAAGGCAGGTGCTACATCTTCCTCATCTTTCTATCACTGGAGGAACACAGCAGTGGCCCTCAAGCATCTGAAGAGAACAGAGGATGTGCAAGAAGCAGAGGATGCTTGCTCCAGAGCAAAGGCAAAGCTGGGCAGAAGGAGGAGGTGGTAAGGAAGCAGGAGTCAGAGCATGCTGGAGGAGGGTGGATGGAGCAGGGGAGGGAGAGGATGGAGGTCCTGCACCTGCAAGGCAAGGGAATCAGTGAAAGAAGGAAGGACAGACTGTGAAAGCCAGAGCAAAAGGGACTGGAGAGGAGACTGAGGGAGAGGAAGAGGGAGCACAAGGAAAGAGCTGAGAGACACAGCAAAGGGGAGGAGAGAGCAGTAGAGAAGAGGAAGAAAAGGATGTGAGGGGAGAAGGAATGAGCGAACACAGGCCCAGGGGCCAGAAAGACAGTGAAGAAAGGGGAGACTGTGAAGGTGGGGGGTGGGAAGGACAGGAAGGAGTGAGAGAGGAAGCAGGCAGAGGGGGCAGAGAGAAAGCGGGCAGGAGAGAGGAAGAGGATACTGGTTCTCACCGCCTCTGACACATGGATGTAATTACCCTGCAGAATGTCCTATAAGCTAAGAAAAAAACCCCATGCAGGCAGAGTCCATCAGATAATGGGACCACCGCGGCTTCCAGCAGAGATGCGAAAAGCCAGCTCTGCCCCTCAGGGCCCCAGGCTTGGGGGCGTGACCCTCCCGTGTGAAAACACCCTCCGAATATTTGAGTCAGTCTCCAAACTCAGCCAGAGGGGAAGGACTGTACATAAAAGCGGAGCTGAAGAGGATATGTAACATGAAACCATACTGGAAAAGAATGATTTTAAATAAATCAACAGCAAAATGCCCTCCTAAAAACAAAGCAACAGGATCATTTGCATAGGCTACAACTTTTACTTTTTCATCTGCTTCAAAAAACTAGGGTAAGTGTTGAGAAATTCCCTTACCTAGTAACAATCTCACCTACAAATTTTGGGTAAAATCAAGATGCCCTACCCCTAAGCAAAAAAACTTAGATGCAAAAAAAAAAACAAACAAACCCTGAAAGAAGTAAATATTGTAGATGACAGGGATACAGTGTTCAGAACCAGGCGCCACTACCCCATGTAGTCAGGACGGTGGTCGCCTGTGGGAAGGAACCAGGAGGAGACGAAAGAGATTCAAGGGTTCAAGTTCCCTAAGTGTGTTCGATGAGTGAGCTCGAGATTTGTGTTTTTCTGTGTTTCTTACATGTCAACAAAAAGGAAAATTCTTTGAGCTTGAGATTTGTGTGTTTTTCTGTGTTTCTTACATGTCAACAAAAAGGATTTTAAAAAGTCTTACCCATAAGAGAAAGCATCATTATCTCTCCATTTCGAAATAACAGACGCTGCCAACCCAGCCAAAATGGCAGTGCTATCGAAAAACATGTGAAAAGAGTCGGAAATCAGCCCTAAGCTGGAAAAGAACAAACATGGTGGCGTATTAGAATAGTAACCAAACAGGAGGCATCCTTCTCTAAAAACCTAAGTGTCAGCTCTGCTCATCAGGAAGGAATCTTCCAGAAAGACAACAATGAAATATGATAAAGAAGAAAAGGAGAGGGGGGAAGAACAGTACAGGTAAATTAATTCCATACATTCATTATTCCTTCATTCTTTCACTCAGCAAATATGTATCAGGCATCCTATGTACCATGTGTAAGGTGCCCGAATTAGACAGAAGATCCCTCCTTTAATACAGTTTACATTCTAGTGGCAAGTTGAAAGGCAATGGGCACTTAATGTGGGGAAAATAAAGAGGTTATCTATTCTTCCACTGAGGATACAGTCTCATCCTCAAAAATATACACCAACTCTAATTAAGTTTTCACTTTAAAATGAAGGTTCTGAACAAGAACCAGAATGCTGCAACAAGATCAACTGCTTCTAAGAACCTTTACTTGCGAAGAGTGAGTATATTTTATTCATCTTTCTTCCAAACAGAAAAAATTTCTTGACATTTCATGTTCACAACATCTTGAGATTTACTTATTCCAGAATGAAAATGAACAGACATTACAATGACAAAGTTCCCATGAGAATTTTACTCTAGGAACTTAAAATTCTCGTGGAACCTTCAGAAACAGAGATAATCCAGTCACATAAAGAAACTGTTGATCCGTCAACAAAGGGAACTAAAAATTGTGGTATCTAAAGAAGACATAGAAAGCCAGATTACGAAAAGGCCCACGCATTTTCTAAATCTGCCAACGCTTTCATGGGAACACATTTGTACTCCCAGCGCACTGATAAAAGTTAATCGTGGGGAGCAGGTGGTTGTGGATGTGACGGTGAACAGGAAGAGGAATACCGGCTACCTGAGCTAGGTATAACAGACACTGGGTCAGTGCTAGACTCCAAATCTAGAACATATATGGACAATCTGAGAAGAGAGCCTTAGGTCAGGAGAGCAAGCCACAGAAGAACAAGTCACGTACCACTCACGTTTTCCTTATGTACAGGTGACTTTCGACAACAGCTTGGAAATCCAAGGTTTTCATAATTTCCCCAATAGCTCTCTACAGACCAAAAGAATTACTATCTAAAATGACACTCCATGAAAGAGGCAGTCTAGGCACTTCCAATATGAATCCACTGAACAAGACATTTCACATAGCAATTTATGCAATGGTAGGCCACAGTAAAATATAATGTGTTGTAATAGAAAGTAACTATGGCAAAACTCTACATATATAAACCAAGATAGTCTTGATACAGTCAGCACATATGCCACAATATGGCATAATGTAGGAAGAATAAAGGACATAAATATTGTATATTTATAATAAATTATGATTATTCCAATAGAAGACAATACAGTTGACCCTTGAATAACAGGGAGGTTAGGGACACCCACCTCCTGTGCAGTAAAAAATGCATTTAACTTTGACTTCCAAAAGTTTAACTACTAATAGCCTACTATTCACCGGAAGCCTACCAGTAACATAAATAGTCAGTTAACACATGTGTTATATGTATTATATACTGGGTTATTTCCATAAAGTAAGCTGGAGCAAAGACATCATAAGGGAACATACATTTACAGTACTGCACATATTGGTTGAAAACCACCTGTATGTAAGTGGATCTGCATAGTTCAAACCCATGTTGTTCAAGGGTCAACTATACAGCGCTTTTAACATGTACAATACATTGAAGGGGGTTAATATTACAGGGCACATATATCTGATTCCTAGCGGACTCAACATGGTTATGATGTACACTGAGATGTGACCATGTTTCGATATGCAGTTAATATCCAAGTGGTCACTCAACAATAACCTTCATCATTTGCTGAGTATTACTGACAAAACTGCATTCACGTTTGCACTGAAAAGTAGTCCACTTTTCATATAAAAGTATACATGTCACCAAAACTGGTGATATTATCTAATGTCATTGCTCAATTTCCACAGTGATAAAGCTCAAGGACAGCAACTGTCTGTGAAAATGGACCTTAGTGAGCAGAGACTAAGTCTACTTAATGAACAGAACACAAAGCATAGATGGCACAGGTTCTTAATCGGGGGTCCAAGAGCTATGTCGAGGGACCCAAGACCACGCTGAAGTCTTGTATAAAAGACTGCGTGTTGGCTTTCATCAGATTCTCCAATGGATATGAGACGTACAGACCAATCAGTACACCCAGAAGTGTGATGACCGTATTGTTGGTTGAACAATTTTCTAAGACCCTGAAGTTATTCAACAGCAAACAACTAGATAGCAGTATTTCACTTCCAGAGTTCCACGGGATCTACCTCTTCCCAAAGCAGTTAAAAAAACGAACAAACAACCACAAAGGTACCACCAAATACCATGAGGTGTAAGCTTTTAGAAAACCCTGTGGGCTTCCCGACTGCAGGCAAGACCAGAGGGAAATCCTGAGACAGTTTCAGCACAAAATTAAAGAGAGAGGTGAATGGAAGAGATGACAGGCGTCTGTCCAGATGTCCCCCGTGTAAACCTCTTCCCCATTCCAAGATCTAACAACAAAGTAAGTAGAACATCTTGGGTATCCCTCTCGGAATCTTAAGGATGAAATCCAAGGGCCACTCCCCCCCCCACCCCCCCAGACAGGCAAGGACACTCCCCCGGGAGGCAGGAAGCGGGTTTCTCCCAATTCCAAGAAAGTGGACAAAGACACTAAGGGATGTGGGCAGACTCTCTCCATCTGCCCAGGTGAGG